GTTGTGGAATTGAAGTCGCCGGCTACAATTAATGTTAAATGGCTCCTGACGAAAAAAAGAGAGAAATGTGAGTGCAAGTGTGTGCATATGTGTTGTCTCGTGTTAATAAAGAAAACATACTCACACCTCCCCATCTTCTTTACACAGGTTGAGATCTGCTGACAAAAGTCTGGTCCTTCTTCCTGCTACGGTCCAGTATCTGGATCATCCACAATGTCATCTTGAAAACAGAAACAAAAGTCAGTGTATTGAAAAAAGCTATTGGCCTTAGAATCAAAGCTCATTTATGTTCGTGAAATCCATAGTTGTGTAATTTTTGTCAACAATTTTGGAAGCAATTTGGCATTCATACGATACGAAGAGGATAACAACGTGGAATTTATGTGGCCGGCTAAGTTGCAAAGTTTGTCGGTGGGGCAATTGAAGAGGAAAGGTCCAAATCTACAGAGGATAGCAAAGAGGATAGCAAAGTTAAGATAAGAGATAAAAAAAACTAATTACATATCTTACTGCTCCTCTTCTGAGCTTGAATCTGAAATGGGAGCTAACTTCAAAATCTTTTACTTCAAAAAAGTACTACAACAATGATTTTCTGACACTTAGATGCCAAGAATATCAAGTATTACTGTATACATTCAGGCCTCGAAATAAACTTTTCTTCCTATTGTCCAAGCACTGTCCCAAAAATACATTTCAATTGTCCCAAAGTGAGGATGAATTGTCCCAACCTGTTTCTCGGGAAGTATTGTACGACTTCAACTTGAAGTCAACTTTATTTTGCTTATGTTCACCCCCAGGCGCACTATAATTGCACAGTAAACAGGGAATTCGTGGAGGACTTTTCTTGATCCAAAAGCCGGGACGTGTGCCTAAAAAACAAAAGAAGGGCTGACATTCTAATGTTGAGTATTGTTCTGTTGTCGCAAAAATGTCCCAAAGTGTCTCTTTAGTTGTCCCGGCCTAAATTTTAGTGGTCTGTGGCCATTGGGACACTGTTAATTTTGAGCCCTGTACATTTAATATTCACAAAAATACCTACAAAAATATTTAGGTGCACATGCACGCAGTATTTTCAGCCCTGTAATTATACTGCCTACTGTTTTTTTTCACTGGGGAACATACATGTACATAAACATTGTAAAAAGCCAGACTTTCTTCTGATCCAAAACTTTTTATCTTGAAAGAAACAAGTCTAAGGTAAACTGCTCTGTAAGTTGAAAAGCATTGTCTCACCTGTAAACTCTCTTCATTCCACCAGTCTTCAACTCAACCAGTCTTCTCAGCCCTCATCTGGTCTGGTTTCGACAGGAGTCGCTGGTCATCACAGGTTTCTTCCAGTCAGGACAGGAACATCAGCATAGCTGACACTCAGGACACACCTACCGATATGAACAGATGGTTATTGTGATGCTACACTGAATGACTATTAAAGATAGACTAAGTGATAAAATTGCACAATTGGGCAATCCCTTTCGTTGAATACATGCACAAAATCCTAGGCTCTAGAAAGTTGTTATCTATTGCGACATGCCTCAGAATTGTGATATGCCTTAGAAAAATATAACTTGTAAATTGAGAACCATTGTCTCACCTGTACAAACTCACTGTGTCTTCAGGTCATCTGAGTTGCTGGTCTGGACTGGAGAGAAGTTGCCAGTCACCAGGTTTCTCAGAACACGAACATCTGGTCTTGTCGGGTTTAGAATCATCACAGCAGTCACCTAGCTACGTAGACATGAAAAAGTTACATGGTTGTCTCCATTAACACTAAGGAAACTACTACTGGTACAATTGACAATTTAGATTTCAAGTTCTCACCTGATATTCCTCTTGTGTGGTCCAATCTTCTCGTCAGGTTCAGACAGGAGTCCCCACTACTGCATCAGTCAGCAGCCACCTAACTATACAGACATTAGAAGTCACACACTTGTCTAAAATAATACCAAGTAAATGGTAAGTAAAATCCAGAATTGGGATTTTTCTCGCCTGGTATTCCATTTGAGTCTTCAAATCATCTGGTCTGGTCCAATCCACTGTTGTCAGCTTCAGACAGGAGTCCCCACTACTGCATCAGTCAGCAGCCACCTAACTATACAGACATTAGAAGTTACACAATTGTCTCAAATAATACTAAATAGTTGTAGGTAAAATCCAAAATTGGGATTTTTCTCACCTGATATTCCTCTTCGGTATTCAAATCATCTGGTCTGGTCCAATCTTCTCTTGTCAGGTTCAGACAGGAGTCCGCACTACTGCATCAGTCAGCAGCCACCTAACTATACAGACACTAGAAGTTAC